AAAAGTGGTTTTTTGTTGGTGAAGTTCTTTAGCAAAACTATAATCATCACAGGCACAAACTAAGTGTCTGAATCGACCTGTTGTTATGGCTTCTCTTATGCAGATCGTTGCCTGATCTGGAATTGGTTAAAGAATTTCCTTTGATGTCGTACTTAAGGTGGAATGTCAAGGCAAACATGGAAAGGATGATTAGCTCTACTGAAAATTTACTTCTTACCTTGGTATTTCTATACTGATTGTGTTATTCTGCTTGAACTGACAATTATTATTTATCAGCTTGGCTTAGTAAATTTTGAACGTAACTGAAAATAAACCCTGCTTTTCTTTTAATACTGAGAGCATTTCCACACAGGCAAATGGCTTTGAAGTGGCTTTTATCTCTTTATTAGAGGGTGAAAATGACTTCAGGTATCTTTATCATGTTCATTAGCTGATGCTATTTCGCTTGTTCTTTTTTCCAGCTTTTAAGGTTTATTGTAAAAGATATAAATTAACATGTAATGTTTCTTCCCAGAATTCCAGAGAGCCTGCCTAGCCTTCATGATGAAGTTCTTGCAGCTGCAGCTAATGCTGCATTTAGTGTTTCTGAACCTAAGAGGAAACAGGTTTTGGTAACTCTCTGCAATATTTTTAACTTTATGTGTCCTAGCTTTAATTGTTTTTTAATACAAATGCTCGGTTTATTACTACAGGGCAGTAGTCCCGGCATTTTGGGTGGTATTGTTAAAGGATTAAGAAGAAAGAAATCAAACAAGTCAATTTGGTATGGCTCGAATTCAGTATCTGATTTCAATCATCTGGAGGATATCTTCATGAGAAACCCACTTCCAGAACCATCAACAACTGTAGATGAGCACGAAGCCACTGAACTCAGTATAGGTCTCTCTCTCTCTCTCCATCTCTCTCTCCATCTCTCTCTCTTTCTCTCTCTCTCTCCATCTCTCTCTCTTTCTCTCTCTCTCTCTCTCTCTCTCTCTCTCTCTCTCTCTCTCTCTCTCTCT